CCAGGCTTTTGCTGAAAGCATTGTCAGATCAGCACTGGAAGATTTTAAATCAGGCTGTGATGGTGAATGGCTCCATGAATGGCTCCTTTGTGGCTCTGTCACTCCTCAGGCACAAAGCCCCCCTTAGCAAGAAAAATATTTTGGCCATTCTTATTTTTACTGTGTGATTTATAACGCTGTCCCARAGCCCTTTGTGGGTTTGAAAGGCTGTGACTGGTTTTGTTTTTTTTTTTTTCAGGGGAGGAATGCTCAAATATAATATTCCCAGATTTTTTGGTGAGCTCCTGACCCTGCCAACATTGACACGGACAATTTTAATGGAATTTGGGTTCCATGAACCAGAGCCAYGCCAAAAACACCAAATTTTTTACCAAAAAGCTTTACAACCCATGGAGAAAGGAAAATTTCAGAGCTGMCTTCAGTGGGATTCCTTCTGGAGAAAGAATTGGATCCTTCTGTTCTGAACAAGAATTGATTCAGGATCTCCAAATTCCTGAGGTTCAGCTCTTCATTTTGAGCGTTGAAGGTGAATTCATGCAAACTTTGCCTTTGCTGAAGCCTGAAATCCAAATTAATGCAACAATTTTGGGCAAGAAAAGCTCAGACATAAACACAATTGCTGCCTTTACCCATAATGTCTAACAAACAAAGACAAATTTTAGCTATTTTTCAGAATGCATTTAATTTTTTATTTTTTTAAAATTTTTTTTTTTTAGAAATTGCCTCGAGGAAAAAGCTGAAGTATCAAAAATTACAATTTCAAACACTACGGGTTTCTACAGAAAGTTAAAACAGAGTCAATATTTACAATATCAAAGGAGCACTTTACTCCCAAAAAGCAAGAATATTTTATGGTGCACGGTGCCACAGAGAACACAATTAAATTTCCAAGTTTAGACAACTTCCAAGCACAAAGAACTTCCAAATAAAAGGACATTTTTTTGTTTGTTTCGAATCAGAAGAGACAATTCCAAACTTACTCCAGCTAGAAATTGATTTATCCAGAGCAGCTGGGARAGGTTCAGCGCAGGGAATTTGGAGTTTAGAATCAATTTTTTACAAAATTTTACAATTTTTACGCCTGACACCTGGGAAATGGTCGATCCTGGACACAACCAGAGGCTGTGAGGATRTAAAAGGACACTCACAGTTCTCTCCTTGCCAATTTAAAGGTGACAAAAGGTTTCCACAGATGCCAAAATCAGCTTTTTGAGCACCAAAAATCATCTGCAGCAACGCAGGGGCRGAGAAGAGCAGGAGAAGCGCAGTGTGGGACGGCTCAAAGAAAACATTTTGGCTTCACTCTCCAAAAAAAAAACCCTTTTTGGTTGRTAGCTCATCCCTGCTGGAATCCCCAGAGGATCCATCCTCATCCCAAACGTGGTTAAATGTCCTCAAAAAGCTCCTCTGGCTCACAGGAATTCTCCAGCGTCTCCAAATCCCAATCGGGGCAGCGCTGCCCCGTCCCCGTCCTGGGAAGGGAAAACAGAGGGAAATTAGACATTTTTGGGAATAGAAACCAGTAATTCCAACAAATTCAAGTTTTTTAAAGTCACATCAAAGAGGAAAGTGGTTTTTGGGACAGCTCAGTCCCTCGCTGAGGCAGCAGCGGCAGAGCAAGATGGAATTCAGTTTTCAAACATCACAGTCTGGCTGTGCTGTTATAATTTTTCAAACTCTCTGAAAACGACCATTTCACCCAAAATTTCCACGTGGGCAGCTAGGAAGGGCAGAGCAGATGCAGAAATTGTGCTAAGAGCCTGTTTTCCTATATTTTTCCTCTCTCTCCAAGATGCAATCCCAGCTCTGCCCTCGTGCCTTGGGAAGGTGATTTATCCTGTGTTTCCAAAAAAAAAAAAGTGGCATCTGCAACAGGAATTATCCTTTATAATTAATAATAATTAATAAAT